GACCCGGGCCATGGTCGCGGACGCCCTCGCCAATGCGATGGAGGCCAGCGTGTTGCGGTCCTTCCTCGGGGCCCGCGAGCGCGACTGCAGGGCGAGACAGCCGCGCGCTGCTAGCTGGCGCCTGTCCTGCTGGCCTGCATCGGCCGCGCCGAGGGGGGCGATGGCGCGCCCGCGCCTGTGCGCACTCCTGGCGACCCGACGATGGTCTGGACCTGCTTCGTCATGGTCGGCGAGCTCTTCCTCGGGATTTCCATTGGCGTCGGCCTCGCAGCGGTGATCATCGTGATGTTGAGCCTGTGGCAGATCGAGCGGCGCAATAGCTGGCGTGCCTGCGGGCGTTCACCGCGGCGCCCTGGCCCATCACAGTGCCGGGGGTGCAGTGAAGAATCGGGCCAGGAGATGACGAGGTCGTCGTCGCGACGTCCTGGTGCAGATGATGGACTGCGCGGTCGGGTCAACAGCTTGCCGACCATTTCCGAGACGGAGGCATCATCGTCGTCAAGTGTTTCTGCAGCCTGCCCGCTAGCCGCAGCAGTGGGATCCGCATCGGCCCGGGACATGATCGCCCGCGACTGTGCGGTCGTGGCTGCTGCGGCTCAGGCCGCACTATCAGCCGCCGTCAATTCCATGATGCCAAGCGTCGCAGAACCCAGCATCTGTGCCAGCATCAGCAGCATCATCGAGTCCGACGCCGTGCAGCAGTCAACCATCGTCGGCATCGTCGGCATCGGTTGTCAACCACAACGGGAGCGCGCCAACGGCGCGCGCTGACGAGATTAACGAGCGTGCCATCGCCGGGCACAGCATGCGGCTTCGCCACGACCCTTACAGCGTATACGCCACATGCCGCACGTGCTGGAAGCAATGCGCCTGGCTGGGGCGACGTGGCAGAGCCGTCTTCAGCCGCCTCGACTGCAGGAGTGGATGGGCCATCCCCAGTCACAAAGCGCAACGCGTCGTAAGTGATTGAAGGTCGTCTGAGTGTCGATTACGTAAGTCCGCATTGCTGCAGCTGTTCCCCCCCGCATAGTGCTTGCCGCTTCGCGTGTGCGACTGGAGCTAGACCGTGCCGTCCCAGTCGGACTCTCTCCCCTAATTCATCGGGGCGCTGATGCGCGATATTCGCTTTGCGGCAGCTGTTTTTGGGGGAAATTGATAGCGCCGCTTCCTTGAAGCGGTGATGGGGATCACCCGTCCCGTCCTTGCTTTTTGATTACGGTGCCGGCGGTGTTGAGAGCTGTAATGTCTTGCAGGTGCGGGCAGCTCACCCGCCGAAGTGCCCGAGGGGCTGCCTGGCGCTTGCTACCCGTGCGAGCAGTTCGCTCGCCTTTCGGGGAACCGTGAGACTCGAGTAAGCCGGAACCGGTTTTGCCGACGTTTTCTGACGAGCGCGTCCTGGTTTTTCATGGCGCCAACATCGCAGAGCGGTTTTCGTTCGGAAAACGATATGATTGGCCCAGAGTTTTTTGGATAGTTTCGCTCCGGATTTCGAGGTGAGTTTTTCGCCCACCGTTTCGGGGTTTTGCATTGACAGGAATCCACGCAAGTATTTGCTGCAGCACTTTTGCAAGATCGGCGCAGTGACGAGTAAGCTGGAACTCGCGTTTGCCGATGTTTTCTGACGAGTGCATCCTGGATTTGGACGGTCCAGTTTTCGTGAGATGTTTGCAGCAGGAGCTTGCATCAAATTTCAGATCGGGTTTCGTCATTTTAGTGATGGCCCCGTCGGGCCAACCCGAGTCCCCCGTGCCCGAATCTTTCGTTTCCCCGGGCCTTGCGCCGGGACACCCTGGCTCATGCCTAATGCAGCAGCGACCGAGCCTCAGTGTTCGGCGTCCTGGCCGCCCGTGGCGCCAAACAGGAGGAGCGCGTCTCCAGTCGATTCGATAGCATCATCGGCCGTACTTCCGACGAGCTTCCGCTCCATCTTCTTTCTCCTGCCCCTGCTGCTCTCGCCCGCCCCAGTATCGCTTGTCTTGGCCCAGCCGTTTTTCAGGGCCCTTGGCTGACTGAACTACGCAATCCTCCCAGCGAGAGTGCGATCAACAGATCCGCGATCTTCCACGTCGCGCCTCCGACCCCATCTTCTCCGGCCCTATTGAGGAGGCCTCCAATGAATTGATCCTTTTTCCTGACCTGGGGGTGGCCTACTCGGTGTGACGTCGTTCTGGGCTCGTGCCGAATTGCGACAGCGTAGTCGCTGCACCGCGAGGGCGGGGCGAAGACGGATGCGAGCTCTCCGGATGCAGCTCGCTATGGCGTCAGAATTTTGACGGTGCCAGTGGATCGAGGTTCGAGGGCCGAGGCTCGAGGTTTGAGGATTCTGGATGATTCTGGTCCTCTCCTGGGGTCACCGTCGGCCTCCAGAGCCGCGCAGATGCTTCCAGGGGCTTCGAGAGGCTTTCCCGAGCCCTTCCCCCGCCCCCACCCCTTCCCCTCGCGGGCCGAGAGAGACAGAGAGAGAGAGAGAAGAAACAACAATAATGATAATGATAACAATAATAAGAATAATAATAATAGGGATAATACTAATAAAGATAACAATATCATGAACAATAATAATAATGATAATACTAGTAATACGAATACTAGTAATATTACTACTACTACTACTACTACCAACACTAATGTGAATCATAATAATAATACTAATCATAATAACACTAATAAGAATAATAATACTAACAGTCATAATAACAATAATAATATTGATAATAAGAATAATACTAGTAAGAGAGAGAGAGAGAGAGAGATAGAGAGAGAGAGAGAGAGACGGAAGGCTAGAGGGAAGAGAGTGGCCACCAGCCGAGCGCTTCATTTCCTCCTCCTTCACGTTCCCCTTATCGGGCTCCGATTCCCGGCGATGTGGGATCGAATCGAACCGAGCCGAGGCCCGCCGCCGACGATGCGCCCGAAGAGCGCCGTGGGCAGCGCAGGGCGTGGCCTGTGGCTTTCATCTTTGGCCACGTGGTGCGCGTGCCGGCTGCGCGTATACACCGCACTTTCTGGTCCGCGCTCGTTCTCTTGCGGGGCCACCTCGGAGCTCGCGCCCGTGAGCTTCGGGGTATGCCCCTTGCCAGATCCACGAGAAGACTGGGTGTGCGGCATACTACAATCGCAGGGGATACCCCACAGCTCCTTTGCATGCGTTTCGGCGTTGACCCCCTTATGCGGATGCCCTGTCCTGTCCTGTCCTCCCTCCCTCTCTTCCTGGAGACGGCACCTTCGGCGAGGCAGGAGCGCCCGTGCCGTTCTCCGACCCCAGCTCCGGCCGCGGGTGGGCGGGAGCCCGCGCTCTCCCGACGCTCGTCTCCCTTTTCTCCCTCTTCCTCCGCTCCCCCCCCCCGTATCTCAGATGAGGAAAAGGTACCCATACCTCTACCCTTCCCTAGTTTTTCCCTGTTTGGGCCTCCTGGGCGGCCCTCGTCGTAACCGCTGGATTCGCCTCGACATCCTGGTCAGAACGCACCCCGGGAGAGGCCCAGGGAGTAGTGGTATCAGTACCTTTTGGTTTCCCCCGGTAGCGGAGATGGAGCGACGGATCGATCAGTTCTGCGGTCCGCCCGCGCCCAGCTCGCCCTCGCACCGCCAAGGGTCAGGTGCATTGGGTTCGGCCGCCGCGCCCCCGCGCAACTCGTCGTCTGCCCCTGGACGGGCTCCCGGCGCCACGCGGTTTTTGTTCCCCCTTCACTCTTTCCTTCTTTGTTTCTCCTCCCTCCTTCCAGGCAGGAGGAGGCCGCCCACCAGTCCAGAGACGGTCGCCGGAGCGACATGCAGGGAACGCAGCCGTGCTCTCGTCTGGCCGGTCACTGCCTGCCGCTGGACCTGCATCGGCAGTCTCTGACAGCGCTCCCCAAGTCCCTTCTGCTCCGCTTCCTCCTTTCCCCCCTCTCAGCCGGGCGTGCTTGGCCTCATTCCCTCTCGCTATCTCCAGCAGCCTCTGGCTCCCGGCCAGACCCTCTTGGCCCTGCTGGGAGAGCACGTGCGCCGATCCTGGGGATGGGGAAGGGTCTGGCCAGGATGGGCGTGGGAGGACCAGTGACGTCCTGCGGCGCCGCCAAGTGCCACTCTCCTGAGCAGCGGGCCTTTGACAAAGGAGATGGAACTACGCTTGCGGAGGCCTCTCCCCTCAGACGTCCCGACAATTTTGTATGTTTGTTCATTGTTTGTTGTTTGTTTGTTCGCTTGTTTTGTTTGTGTGTGTGCTTGTTTTTTGGGTCGATCCGCAGCCCTGGAGCCTCCGATCCCGTTTCCCGGGCGTAGTTTTGCGCCCCGGATCCGCTCTTGAGGGCCTCGGAACCGGAAGGCGGGCCCGGGTGGCTTGAATCGAGGAACACCGCAAGGGATGAACGAATACGTGCTATCGGAGAGTTGGGCTGTAAGCTGATCTCACGGAGGATTTCCCTGCCGCCTCGTCGTTCGTTCCCCCGCCGTGTGTTCGTGTCGTCGTCGTCATCGTCGTCGTCGTCGTCGTTGTCGTCGTCGTCGTCGTCGTCGTCGTCGTCGTCGTCGTCGTCGTCGTTTTTCTGGTTTCTGTTGCGTGACCTGGAATGGCACGGGTTCCACTGGCGGTTCTGCCCAACCAGGGCGATTCGCTGTCAGAGTCTGCCGACATTGAACGGTTCGCGCTTGTGGCAAACAAAAATATCCCATCAGCGTGGTACTGTAGAAAAGTGTTATTTTTTTTCACAGCGAGTGGTTGAGTAACACGCGCAGTTGAAACACGACGTGCGCGAATTTTGACACTGTGCACGATCAAGAACGGCCTCTTAGTGTGTCGCGCCCTCGTTCCGCTGTTTCTGGTGCACCGCGCTTCGGCGCTAAGCGCTAACGTTAACCGCGTCCTGGTCTCCAAGCATCGATGTCCCGAGCTCTTCCCAGCCTCCCGCCCCGCGGGGTGGAGCGACCCGCTACCCGCGTGCAGGGCACAGCGTGTCGCCGGGGCCGCCGCCGCGACACGCCGAGCGAGAGTTCCTGACCGTAATTATCCCTCCCGGCAGGTGCCAATCCCTCGAGCTGCGGACCGTGACGAAGGAGCTGAAGAAAATAGTGGCCACGCACGTGTCGAGGCAAGAACTGGAGAACCAGCTGCGCGCCGTCACCAAACACGAGGGGGGGGGGGGGGAGGAGGCCAGCAGGGGGAGAGACGGAGAGGAATTCGAGAGGAGGAGGAGGAGGAGGAGGAGGAGGAGGAGGAGGAGGAGGAGGAGGAGGAGGAGGAGGAGGAGAGGAGGGAGGAGTCAAGCTAGCCAAGGCGAGCGAGTCGAAGGGCCCGGCATATTCCACTCTCCATCCCACACCATAATAGTGAATTGTGGCATAACTTGAACTTGGAATTGGAACGCGTTCCCACCTAGCAAACGGAAGACGTTCGCGTGCAGCCCCGCTTCCGACGACTTGTCGAAGGGAAAACTACGCGGGGCGGCAGAACTTCCGATGGGTGCGGCGAAGGCCCCCAGATTTGGCGAGTGACAGTTCTAGACGTTTCGCGTTGCCCCACCAGCCCATCCAGAAACGATGCCCAAACGAGTTTCATTGATCCAGGATGTGGAGGAGCATGCAGTGGAATAAAGGGCTGGGTAAGACGTCGCACCCCAAAGGGGGGGGACGGAGTAAAAATCGGAGGAGGGGCAAGAGGATGAGGATGTATATGGAGAGGGGAGGGGGAGGAGTGAGTAGGAGGAGGAGGAGGAGGATGAGGAGGAGGAGGAGGAGGAGGAGGAGGATGAGGAGGAGGGCTTGCAGAAAGGCCAGAGGCCTCTTGGATGCCTCTCGGGATCTCTCAGGATTTCTTTCGAGGCTTCTTGGAGTTCTCTTGGGGCGTTTTGGGAGTCTCCTGGCAGTCCTGTGGCCTCTTGAGGCGTCTTAGGTGCATCTAGGGGGCCTCTTGGGGCCTTTTGGGGGTCTCTCGGGAGCCTCTTAGGGGCATCTTGGGAGCATCTTGTCCCTCGGGAGCCTCGGGGGTTATCTTGGGGTCATCTCGTGAAAAACTGATCAAAGGAGGGGGGCTTCTTAATTAGGGTCCCCACCCAGGACGTCAGTCAACATGTGGCCAAAACCACAGTAACATATTTTTGTTGGGCTTCCTCGCCAGGGCCTCGTGGGGCGTCTTGGGTGCCTCTGGGGAGATCGATCAAAGGAGGGGGGCTCCGCAATTAGGGTCCACCACCCAGGAGGCCAACATGAGGCCAAAACCGTCGTAATATCAATGGTGTTGGCTTTCTCGCCGAAGTGTCTTGGGTGCCTCTGGAGGGCCTCTGGGGGCCTTGTGGGGCACTCCTGGGGGCCTCTTGGGGCCTCCTGGGCACCTCTTGGGGCCGTCTTGGAGCACCCTTCGGAGCCTCGTGGGCCATCTTGGGCCCATCTTGGAGGAGGTCGATCAGAGAATGGGGTTCCTCAATTAGCGGCGCTTCCCTCCCCCCAGGAAGCCAACGTGTGGTCAAAACCTAATGGATGATTCCGGCTTCCTCGCCGAGGCCATCTTGGACCCGTGGCCCGCCCCGTCCAGGTCCAGGGGGAGGGGATAGGGGGAGGGGTCAAACTACTCTGATAGCAGGCCGTCTAGCTCACTCCCACCCGCCCTCCCAACACAGAAGTAACACCCGAGTGTCAGCAAATCGCTCAGGAACGCCGCGCATGCTATGCGCGCTACGGGTTTTAGGTGCACCAGGCAACCTGGAGGCCCAAGCGTGCCAGGTGCGGCACATGCTCCACGTGCGCCAACTGTGCCACGTGCTCCAGCCGCGCAAGGTTCGCCAGCTACGGGGTACCAATAGGTACCACAGGTGCCTGGGGCCCTGGCCCCAAGGAGTTCAGGATCTTTAATCTCCCTGAAACGAGGTGCCGAGCATTCTAAGAAGGGAGGCTCTTCCAGGGAGCGCATAGCACCGGCACCGATGGACAAAAAGTGACACCTTGAGGAGTCGTGAAACAGCTGAGAGCTCAAAGAAAGGGGGGCCCTGGGCATGCTCCAGATTTGGAGCCAAAGTGTATTATTGTATGGTTTTTTGTTGGCCTGCGCGCAGCAAGCATTATGCTGGCACCCCCGCCGTCCCTGTCAAAAACCAATGCAAAGTGGTCGCGGGGCGCCCTCGCATGTGCCAGATTTGAAGACCAAATGCATCTCGTATTGTTCCCAACCCTCCTTGGTTGGGTATTCGTTTTGAATAGGGCAGTGTGGTCGCGTCCTTCCTCCTCCCGCCTCCCGCCTCTTTCCTGCCTCTTTCTGTCTTGCCTGCGGGGGGCTGTGAAACTGTCGCCAGTTTCAAGGCCTGCTGGGGGGTCCAGCATAGAGGGTAATCGCGGCAGATCCAAATTAGACCTCGCCATTCCTGGGGGGCTGCGATCTGTGAAACTGTCGCCACTTTCGAGGCCTGCTGGGGGGCTCAGCATAGAGGGTAATCGCGGCAGATTCAAATTAGACCTCGCCATCCCTGGGGGGCTGCGATCTGTGAAACTGTCGCCACTTTCGAGGCCTGCTGGGGGGCCAGCATAGAGGGTAATCGCGCAGATTCAAATTAGACCTCGCCATCCCTGGGGGGGGGGCTGCGATCTGTGAAACTGTCGCCACTTTCGAGGCCTGCTGGGGGGTCCAGCATAGAGGGTAATCGCGGCAGGTCCAAATTAGACCTCGCCCTCCCTGGGGGGCTGCGATCTGTGAAACTGTCGCCACTTTCGAGGCCTGCTGGGGGGCCCAGCACAGTGAGGGCCACCGCGCAGATTCAAATTAGACCTCGCCATCCCTGGGGGGGCTGCGATCTGTGAAACTGTCGCCATTTCGAGGCCTGCTGGGGGGCCAGCACAGTGAGGGCGACGCGCGGCAAATTAGGAGTGCTCAGGAATTGTAAATCATCAGCTTTATCAAGCCCTTTTTCCTGTAGCCAGTGTCCTGCGAGTCTCCCGAATTCCGTCTGCAGACATATGTAACCCTCGCTCCGTCATCGCCCCCTTATAAAGTATCCTAAACTATTTGCGCCCCGCTTTTGCGCAGGGGTTGGGTACGTCGCCAGGGTAATTATTTTGATTTTTTTGTTTATTCCCAACCCTCCTTGGTTGGGTATTCGTTTTGAATAGAGCAGTGTGGTCGCGTCCCTTCTTCTCCCGCCTCCCTCCCTCCCTGCCTCTTCCTGTCTTGCCTGCGGGGGGCTGCGATCTGTGAAACTGTCGCCATTTTCGAGGCCTGCTGGGGGGCCCAGCACAGTGAGGGCCACGGGCAGATTCAAATTAGACCTCGCCATCCCTGGGGGGCTGCGATCTGCGAAACTGTCGCCATTTTCGAGGCCTGCTGGGGGGCCCAGCACAGTGAGGGCCACGCGCGGATTCAAATTAGACCTCGCCATCCCTGGGGGGCTGCGATCTGCGAAACTGTCGCCATTTTCGAGGCCTGCTGGGGGCCCAGCACAGTGAGGGCCACGCGCGGATTCAAATTAGACCTCGCCATCCCTGGGGGGCTGCGATCTGCGAAACTGTCGCCATTTTCGAGGCCTGCTGGGGGGCCCAGCACAGTGAGGGCCACGCGCGGATTCAAATTAGACCTCGCCATCCTGGGGGGGCTGCGATCTGTGAAACTGTCGCCACTTTCGAGGCCTGCTGGGGGGCCCTGCACAGTGACGCCACGGCGCTGGCGCCCAAGGCTGGGGGGCGCACCTGGCGCGCACCTGGCGCGCTGGGCGCGCCTGACGCACCTGGCGCACGTGGCGCACCTGGCGCGCACCTGGCGCACCTGACGCGCCTGGCGCACCTGGCGCACCTGTCGCGCCTGTCGCACCTGGCGCACCTGGCTCACACGTGGCGCACCTGGCGCATCTGGCGCGCACTGGCGCGCACCTGGCGAGCACCTGGCGCGCACCTGGCGCGCCTGGCGCACCTGGCGCACCTGACGCGCTGGGCGCACCTGGCGCGTACCTGGCGCACCTTGCGCGCTAGGCGCACCTGACGCACCTGCCGCACCTGCCGCACCTGGCGCACCTGGCGCGCCTGGCGCGCCTGGTGCATCTGGCGCACCTGGCGCGAACCTGGCGCGAACCTGGCGCACGCCTGGCACATCTGGTGCATCTGGCGCACCTGGCGCACCTGGCGCGCTGGGCGCACCTGGCGCACCTTCCACACCTAGCGCAGACCCGGCGCACCTGACGCGCCTGTTGCACCTGGCGCACCTGGCGCACATGGCGCACCTGGCTCACTTGGCGCGCCTGGCGCAACTGGCGCGCCTGGCACACCTGGTGCAACTGGCGCACCTGGCGCACCTGGCGCGCACCTGGCGCACACGTGGCGCACACCTGGCGCAACTGGCGGACCTGGCGCGCGCCTGGCGCGCACCTGGCGCGCACCTGGCGCGCACCTGACGCGCTGGGCGCACCTGGCACACCTGGCGCGCTGGGGCACCTGGCGCGCACCTGGTGCACCTGGCGCGCTGGACGCTTGCACACCTGGCGCACCTGGCGCACCTGGCGCGCCTGGCGCGCATGGCGCAACTGACGCGCCTGGCGCAAGCG